GGTACGCGTGCAACTTCTACAAGGCATTGCCGTGCGTTTCTCCGGTTGTCCCGAGACTTTGAACCTCGCGCTTGTGCTGCGGATCGGAGGGAGCTTATCGAATCCGCGCGGAAAATCAATCTTCGCAGCGATGTGCGTGTAACGTAACGAAATACGCGTCTTTCGTAACGTTCCTCGGATGTTTTCAAAAGTTTCGTTATTCTTGGAAGGCGGTTTAATTAAATATTCAGAGGAAATATCGTTTTTACGATACCCTCCGTTGGTTTTCTTTCTGCACCGGCGAATCTGATCGAGCGGGATGTATAATTAAAAGTCTATCGACTCGATTAGTGAAGGGATCAGCCGGTGGGTAGACCGCCGCTTACGATCATCAGTCTTGCGTAATTACTAGCTTGTCAGTTGCTTTGATTAAATCCCTTCAGAAAACCCTCCGTCCCGTCCTGCGGCCGTCTTGCTTCGAGCAGACGATCCATAAGGATTCGTTAACGAGTCGCCCGGCCTGCGTCGTCGTCGTGTTTTTCGAATATCGACTGCGGCCTCGGTATATTACACGAGCCATGTCACCGTCGTCGCGGGATCGACGAGAAATTAAAGGCGGATTGGAAAGGACCATTCGTTAGGCAATGGGAACTCGTCGGTAAGCTCTTTCCACCGGTTCAACGCGTCTCCGGATGTCACGGTTGCTTCGGTTATCGATAACAATTCGGCAGCATCCGTTTCCCGTGCTTCTTGCTTGCCTTTTAAGGAACTTTCATTTCGGGAAATAGACCTGCCGCAGACTTCCCCCGTGCCGTGTTTGAACCGTGCCGAGCCAATGTAAGTAACGAACGGAACAATCTCTATTGATCTGTTACTCTGATATCTAGTTTCTAATTCTGTCATCTAATTCGTTTCATTCGTTTCAATGCATTTCAAATAAAATATCGTAACGATACAGAGCTATCGAGGAAAAAGTGTAAAGGAAATTCAGAGTATCGAATGATTGCCAATGCATAGCTAGCGAAAGCAAAAATGCCCATGGTTCGTATATCTTCATTCTAAACAAGGACCGCAGAAAGGCAACCAGATGTATCTGGATTTTGTCACGCGAAGTCAAGAAACTTATCTCCGGTCAAGGGCGTAATTCTCCAAATTTAAATTTAAATTTTTAAATTCTCCAAACTAATTTCTCCAGTCAAGTCAAACGGTCTTGTCGAGAAAAGCGCACCCCGATTTTCTTTTGGATGTTCCGAGTCATTCGCGTTCGGGAGCTTGAAAGAGCCAGACTTGTTTCTCAAAGCCGTTACAATAAAGTCGTATTGTAAAATATATACCGTTTCCAATACAGAGTGCAAAGTTCCATGCGTTCGATGCATGGAACACACGAATATTTTTAAGAACAATGCGATCCCCGTATAACTGGCCTCTTCTCGATAGCAGAAGTCAAACAAGGTCAGCCAAAGTGACTGCACACTGTCCCGCTGTGGCCAGTCATCCAATTAATCGATGCCGGTTTGTTCGATGTCTCAGAGAGCCGAACTGCAAGCTGAGGTCCCTGAATGTGTCCAAGTGTTTGCTCGGCGGATTGGATGCGGGCTGCCTGGGAGAGACGGTCAGGAGGGCGCGCAATCTGGACGCTTTAAGGGCGGCCGGCGCCTCGCGGCCGGCGGACGTGATGCCGCTGGTCCTCGCGTTGACGGAGGCGCCCTGTCTGCAGCTGCTGGACCTCGCGAGCCCTCGCCTCGCGCTCGACGATCATCCTTCGCGGCTGCTGTGTCACGCCCTCGCCAGGAACACCACCCTCAAGCTGCTCAGCCTCGAGGGATGGACCTTCAGAATAGAGGTGAGTCACCGTCGTTCCGTTTGCCGGTCGATTTCAATCTCCGACTTTTAACACTTTGCATACCGACGACGAGAAATCTCGTTTTTATATATGTAGGAGAGAAAAGCCGAATTCAGGGGCGTTGGGGATTCGGAGGATGTATTTTTGGGGAGCGCGAAAGATGACAGAGTCTACGGTTTCTCAATCTGATCTTTTCAATTTCTAAATGTACGATGAATAATCCGGTTGGTCAGTGTACAATATATATCTCTCCGTGGCGGGGGAGTGACGGACTGTCGATTCGTTTCATTTCGCACTCAAACCGGTGAATAAAATGGGGCAATCGGTTGACTGCAACTTTTATAGGCGTGAAAGTTTAACGTCTTTGTAACTTGAAAATTACGAAATATATTCGTTCGATGAAATTATGGAAAGTATCGAATACATTGTTAATTCGTATTCATATGTGGAGATTTATTAATTTTGTTAACTGTGTTCGACGAGTGTACACGTCATCTGGAAACTCCGAATGGTGCTAACTTTCTCAACGATGGATTATTTATTTTTTAAGAGAAACATGTAATTCTTCTTCGTTTCGCTTCAGTTTCTCGTTAGGATATATTTTAAGTGCATTTCGCCTGCATTTCACGAGTTCATTATTCGATTTTATTGCGCGCATAATGAGAGATTTTTCGAACTAAATTCCACACTTAACCGGTCAACCACTTGCCGTACTTTAACGAGTTCGACTCGTGACAGAAATTCTCGACCAAACATAAATATCACGAGTCTAGGTGACAACACGAGTGAGTTATCGGCCGCCATAATTACGGCGCGGATTTTGCGCGATTAACACTTTGCCGGTTGCTCATTTCTCGCATCGCCATTACGCCGCCGCCGGCGAGATTCGCGCAGCTTCTACTACTCGCCAACGGTGATATTTACGCAATTGCTCGCAACATAGTCAGTTGCGATGATATGTCTACCTATGCGAACGTCGATACGAAGCATCATCGTCGGCGAAAATAAGTCACGCGTACGCGACAGTGACCGATAAGCGGCTGGCGATGCGTTAAATGGCATGGCATAAATAATGCTACCCGATGCGGTGACGTTCAGCTGGATGAACGTCTAATAATAATGCAATTCAATCGAAGGATTCGATATTACATTCTCTCCGTGCGGCACTTAACGCGTTGAAGTACAAGATCGCGAAAGCTGTGATTGTACCACCGTCCGTTGTATTATCAGACGGTTAACGTGCTGCCGAACGAATTCCGGGTGAAAGCAGACGGAAAAAGCGGAATATTCGAGCAGTTCCGAAGCCCGGGGATGAATTTACTTAGCGACCGACGCGAAACACCGCACGGTCCGGGAAAGGAAATCGCGAGCTCCAGTTTTCTTAGCGATTAAGCGAGCGCGTATCGAAAGGATTAAACTCGGGCGGGCCGGGGCGATGATTCGCAGGGCGAGGCGAGGGGAGCGGAGGCGATTCGTATTCGCTGAGTAAACCAAGAAACTCGTGGAAGTCCCCGGAGGAAAAATAAAGGGAGGAGCTTCGAGGGAGGATCGCTCGAGCGCCGCTCCCGCCCCGTCCCCCGCGAAGCCGCGGCTCGCAATTCTGAGAGCGCTCGCCGGTAATATCCCGCCGCGCGGCACGGAACTTGCATAACGTCTCGGCCACGTCGGTCGGGCCGAGCTGGGAACGGAATTCCAACTAGCCGTCTCGATAACAACGTCTGAAAAGTTCGCGTAAGCTCGACGGCACACAACGCGGCGCCGTTGAAATCTCCTTGAAATCTCGAGCGCCGACCCGAAACGTACGTACCGCGGCTCGTACGCTTGGAAATCTTTTATTCGACCGATCGGCCGCCGCAAAATCGAATCGATAACAACCCCTTCGCCGTTGCGCCGCGCGACTCGAACCTCTTTCCTCGCGGAACGCCGCTCCGACGACGGGGCTTCGTAATTTTCGATTAACGCCGGAACTATCGAGAACTCGGTCTTGAAGATTTCTCTACGGGAAGTGCAAGCGTGCGCGAGTGAACGTATAAAAACGCTTCATTTCTCGAAAAATATACTATAATACTTAATTTAGTGTTCCGAAACAATCATTTGTATGTACAAATATGGCTACAGGTAATTTTCGATTAACGCCGGAACCATCGAGAACTCGGTCTCGAAGATTTCTCTACAGGAAGTGCAAGCGTGAATGAATATTACAAACGACTTGTATCTTAGTTCGGGCATTGCCGTATCAGCTTCGTTAATATTATCCGATCCGCGATGAACTCTTCGCGTATCCGCGATACCGTTCCATCGTTTTCGGCTCTTTCTTCGCCGAATTAAGTTTCACGACGGGATCCTCATTCTTTCCATTGCGCGGGTGCTCCTTTATCGTGTCGACGTCCGGCTCCGAGGCCGCGTTTCATTTCAACGGGGCAAATTAAAGAGGAACGGGAGACTGGCAATCGATATCGGGAATCGCGTTCGGAATCCCGGAGAGGAGGATAGAGGAGGACACAGACGCTTCTCCGGTTACATGCTCGAGGTTTCGACGAAGTTACGAACCGAGTGAGATCCGTAAAAGAAACTGATGGGGTATCCGGGGTCTACTAGCCAGTAACTCTCAGCCTCGTAAAAAGAATCGCCCGAACAGTCTGCGGTTTCGTTTCGCCCGGGAGGATCGGGGTCGCTGGGATTCGCGAGCTGTCGCTCTTCGACGGGATCCCGAATTTTAATGGCGAACCGCGTCGCGAATGCTTCTACAAGATTCCCTCAAGGTTTTCATGGACCTACGGTTGCTCGTGCGGCGAAAGAGTTTCATAGCTCGTCAAACTGTTTACCTTCAAAAGCCAACTGGCCCAGCGTCTAAGAGGAGCCTAGCGAACGAGCAGCAAGAAGATAGACGACAGTGCATTGTAAGACAATCTTGTCGAAGGAAAAGTCGAACGCCGGTCGCCTGTGTTCCGTCGATCAGTGCGCTCTCAATGCTGCAACTACCAGATGAGTCGCATCAACCCGTTCCTGATTTCTTCTTTTCGCAATTACTCGAAAGACAAGGGATGTTCCTCTGAGAAATTATTAAGAAATCGGTTTAGCAACACGCAAACCGAATTGTACATCGATTAAAGTCTCGACAGACGCACTATCAGAGTTTCTATACAGAAATTTCAAAAAGCTGATTGACTACTTGTAGTTCTAGTGTCAAAGCGCCCCCGAATCTCAGAGTGCAATAAACAGACCTTTTTCAGGGCGTTCTTTCTATAACCTCCGAGCGAGAACATTGTAAAACGAGTATAATTCGTGTTCACCATTTTATTTCGCGCCTACAAAACCTTGTCTTACGCCGTGAAAAAGATATCCATCTGTACAAGGGAATCGAGAAGCGACAATTCTAATACTGTAAAGTTCTTCCGCGAAACTGATGATTTAAGAGCGATTCGCTGGGAGGCTTTCCTCTTGAAGGAAGCGGTTTCAGTTTTATGTTCCGAAAGTTCCGTTGCAGATGCGAGTGTTCGCGGCCTATATACACCGAACGCTCCATTTCCAGTAAATATGCGTATCACGGTAAAATTCACAGTGACTGGGGAAACGAGGTTCGAGCGGCCAGTTGATTTCATCCCGATTTCAGCGATAGCTCCCGCGGCGCGTACGTTCCGCGCGGTATATAACGTAAATACGTCTGCCAGTTCCTTTCATTGGACCTCTTAACCTCTCCCTGCCGTACTTTAGCTTCCCGCGCCATTGTTGGCGACGAGCCATTATCTACGGTGAAGTACGGGCGCCCGGAATACGGCGGAAAGACATCCGAAAGGGGACAGGGGCTAAAGAAGCACGGCCGCAAGATAATCCTAGCAGGCGCGCCCTAGGATTACCTAGGAGCTGGATAATTAATTATCGCTGATTTCCCGACAGTTACAGTGGGATTGAAAATGGTGATAAAGGACAAACAGCCGGCTTATGATGTAGCCTAATCCTGTATCCTATTGGTAGGCGGAGGATCAAGGTCAATGTGTACTCACGAATCTGAGCCAGTTTCCAAGCCTCAAACAGCTGTCGCACGTCACTCGTACCAGAGAATTTTTCGTTAATTAGTTTCGCAGCATATTCAATCTACACCTTTATCATCGATCGGCAAATTGGGTTCGTCGGTTGTTCACGGTTACAGACGATTACAAGGACCACTATAGCGCGAATAATTTTCTATTAGGAACAAACCTGTTTACAGCTTCGGTGGCTTAAGCTCGCAAACTATCGCGGGCTGCAAGCCATGCGGGAAATTGTCATCGATAATTCCAGCCTCGGAACGTTCCGCTAATTAGCGAGTAACTACCGCTTCCAAGTGCCACGCGCAGCCGGAATGGCCGTATGAATAATAGAAAGTGTTCCGTTTTATCCCAGCCGTTCCAAATACTGTACGATCCCGGGAGAAAGTGTTCCGCTTAAAACGGCCCGGAAGAATGCACGATTTCGCCGTCGGACTTTTAATGGGAACGTAAACGTCTAACTCGACCGGATGTTTTCGAAGAGGCCGACGAGGATTTGTATGTAACCGCATCATAAGCATCGGAAACGCGAAAGCCTCAGCGTCGCTTCGAATTCACCTGGAAATCAACGACGGAAAGCTGTGTACTGTTGAACGGGTCTGACTACACGCGGACCTATTCCACTTCTAATTGAATATACATTGTGCCAGCGTGTGCGACGCAAATGAGACTCGTCGCATTGTCACGAGCTGCGGTCGCAAAACTGACAAGAGAGATTACCATGAAAATTCCCTCTGAGGGTATTACTCGATGGCCTGACCAAGACGATCCCGTTCCACTTACGGAGCATTAAAGTCTGGCTGCGCTACTGAATTCGCGAGCCAACCGCCTACCGCCTTTGTCAGCTCTCCGCGGCGTTCCCCAGGGTGAGATACAGACGTGCAGGAATAAGAAGGAAGACAGGAAGGGATAACCTAGATGTCGAAGAGGCGTCGGGCAGAAAAATCGGGGATTTCGAGCGTCGACGACCAG